CCCCCCCCCTCCCGGAGCACCCAGGGCGGGCCACCAGCTCCACACAGCTGCTTGGCGGGTCGGCCTACCCAGTGCGTGGCAGGCGCTTTGGTTGGCGTAGCCTAAGCACTTCAGAACTCTGCACTTGTTACGGCGTTCCCGGTGGGTAGAGTCAAAATTACAGGTGGTTTTACACGAAGGGGCGTATCTAAAAGCGGACGATCGTTTCGGCGGGGAAAAACACCTCGGGGAAAGTTCTTCGTAAGGGGACCGCAAGAATTTGTTGGAAACTTTTCCAACACTATATATACTCATCTCCATTCACTTTCTTCTCACACACACTGGGCTGTCTAACCCTGTAACAAAAAATTTGAATCCCCCACACCATGCAAGGCATGCACGCTCATTTGTACGGACGACAGACAGCCCGGCGCGGCGCCCGCCACCCCCACGTGGCCGGGCTGACGCCAAGTGCTCGAGCACGAATGAAAAAACAAAACGATCAATGGGTTATGAATAGGGTTAAATGTGGGATAGAATGTGGAAGGGATGGTGGATGGCTACGGGACATGCAAACCACATGAATGGCATTCTTTTACCTCCAGGTGGGAAGGTAGAAAACAAATACAAATTACTGTACCTCTGCAGCAGTGGCGTATTTCAGCGGCAATCACTACTAACCAAATTATTCAGGAAAGAGAAGTCCTCAGGCAGCATAGGTATTTCCTTGGTGACCTTTTGCACGTGTGTTGTCCTGTACGTCGTCATTTCTTCAGAGACGTCGGCCATCACTACACTGCTGGTCGGAGGCGTGGAGGGGCTGGTTACAGTTGTGGTGGTGCTCGTCGTACTGGTGAAGGGAGTCGTGCGCTTCGTGGTCGCCGACTTCCTCGTCGTGGTCGTCCCTCGCCGCGGAGTCGTCCTGGGCAACGCGGTTGTAGGCGGCGAAAGCTGCTTCCCAGACCGGCTGGAGGAGCTCGGTGTTGATGGTGGCTTCGTAGTCACCTGACTCAGAGGTCGCTGAGTGGTGGTGGTTGTTGTTGTTGATGACGGAGTGGATGTGGAGGAAATTGTTGTAGATGGGGGAGGTTCAGTGACAGTTGTTGAGGTGGAGATGGTAGTTGATCGCTCGGTGGTAGTTGTGGTAGAAGTGGACGGAGCAGTGGGCTTGTCGGTCGTTGTGATAGGCAGCTTTACTGTCGTGGTGGCAGGCCGCCTCGAAGTGGAAGTGGACGGCAGAGCTGTCGTTGTTGTAGTGGTAGAAGACGGCCCAGCTGTAGTTGTTGAAGTAGTGGTGGTAGTAGACGGCGGAGCTGAGGTGGTTGTAGTAGTGCTCGTAGTCGGTTTTGGACTGGTGACCGTGACTACCTGACCAGTAGTTGTGGTTGCAAATGACTTGGCTGTTGTCAAAGTTGCTTCAGTTGTTGTAGTTGCAGCCGCCGTTGTCGTCTCCGAAGCTCTCTTCGTGGTCGTTCTTCCTTTTGGGATCACGTCCTCACCGTCAGACATTCGCGTCGTCTGGAATACGTCTACGGTCGTCGGGTCGAGAACGGGGTCCAGGGTCGTCATCCACCTTGCCGTCGAGGACGTTCCTGGCGAGCTGGTAGTCATGGACTCGGCGAAGACGAGCACGGGCGTCTTGGAGGAGAGCGAGGGCTCGTCGAAGCCCTGTCATGACATGCGAAGTGGATGGAGGTGATGTATGAGGGCCAGAGGCCAAATGACGAAGGAAAATGATTGGACAGAGCAAGAAGTTTTGTTGTGAAACTAGCCTTCATGCAAAATAAATGCCTTCCATGCTAACAGAGAAAGAATAAGAATGACGCACGAATCCCAATGCTAGTAAGATCGTATTGGCAACCCCGTTAATGATCAGGCAATGTGGTGAATAGTATGGCTGATCTTCGCTGCATTAAAATGATTTGTATTATGCATTTTATCCCTGCGGCATAGGCGTTAGAAGCTGGTTCTTGTAGCTTACCACGAGAGATCGGCCCCTCGGCACTGGGGCAGGGGCGGCGGTGGCTGTTATCTCGGTCACGGCCGGGTCGTCCTGTAGAAATAATAACACGCATGTGGCTATAAACTTGGTGCAAATCAACATTTT